AAAAAAAATCTAGGTGTCTTCGTGTCCAAGATTTTGGAGTTAATACAATGCAGTACATAATCTTGGTTAGGTAAAATTGACTTAAGTCAGTTGACCGTACTCACCGTGCTCAGGTAAAACATGTTTTAACGAACGAAAAGCTGCATAAATGAGCTAGAAAAATGTGTTATATTCTGTACAGCATACTAACACGTCTAAGTTAAATGTTTTATCAGGCCCAGTCAAGTCAGACCATGAAAACTAAAGTGTCTTATCTTGCATTAAGCGAACGTTACCGCTAGGCTTTAAGTATTATCTCACAATAATTATCACTAATGGAAGTTACGGGTAAAACTAAATAACACAAAAAAATAGTTTTTTATAAGGACTTTTAATCACGAAATCAAGAATACAACTTTATGCATTAACAAAATATTTCTGAGATCAATCAGTCTTAAAAAAATGAAAAGGCAATAGTTTTAAGTATACCTAGAGATCAGATATCACAAGTTAATAGGTACTTGTACTTAGACTAATCAAATACAAAATTATTTATATATTTATCAGAAATTTAATACTAAATATAATATTATCAACTTATTTAATTATATTTGAAACAACATGCATGTATTTGAAATAACGCACTTCCACATTTCCTGGAATATCATGCTCAAAATCAGCTTTTCAACAAAAATACTTATAGATGAACACAATCGGTTAAAATAGTAAATGTTCCCACCTATTTACTTAAAGCTTCTGTAACATGTACTTGATTTAATATTTCGACGCATTGTAGAATCGCGTAAGATTTTTCAGTATCCGAATTTTCAATAAAATCGCATTCCTGAAAATAATTTGTGCACATTAGAATTAGTATTTTTACTCCAAAATACATATTTGATAGAAGTTCGTAGGATTACACAAATGTATTAATTAATTCAATGAATAACTTCAAAGAAAAATTGGAATCGAACCCACAACCTCGTTCACAGCAGTCGCATACATTTCTACTGTACTACCACGGCAATAAAAAAAGAAATAATAAAGTTGAAATAAATCAAATAAATTCTAATAATAATTCTTTTTTAGTAAATCAGTTGTTACTTTCTATAATTATATCAACTATACATATATTTATTTATTTAGACTTTTTGCACAAATAAAACGTACAAATGGCGGACTTAATGCCAGTAGGCATTCTCTACCAGTTAACCGGAAAGTTATGGAATAGATACATTAATAAGGCGGTGCTACAAAAAAAAAAAATAAAGTCAATATAGACACATATACAATAAAAAAAAAAAACAAAATATCATACTAAAAAGGAAGGTTATGCTTTATAAAATAAATAAAATATTTCGCTAATTAAAGGTCAAATAGACTTACATCTTCTATAGGACTTTTGATAATGACTGTCGGAGACAATAGTTTAAATATATTAACTTCGTTTGAATTGTTGAGATCAGGATCCTGAAACACAAATGGTGCATTAGATAATCATTATCATCATCTGTTTAGGTACGTAAACAGTGCAAAGTAGGTAACGGATCAAATGACTTATTTATATACCTAACTACAAACTATGGACATTTAAACTATTAGTAAATAAGACGTACCAGATTGTTGGTTCCCTCAAAACGTCCGGAATGCTCTACCATTATGTCTTCATTCTAATAAGAAAGAAAATAGGTATTTTAGTTAAGTAAGTACTCATTACATGAATCCAAATATTTTGGTAGCTTATTGTAAAACACCTATTAGTGCTTAGTTATTTACCTAATTGTATTAAAAATGTTACTGGGTTAATTAATTATAAAATATCCAATACCTAAATAATATACATACCTGTTCATTAGAAATTAGGTTCAATGTAAAATCTTAGTCTCCTTGGAAACAACTCATTCTTAAGTATTCTCTTAGACCGTTCCGATGACATTTTAAATGTTTTTAATGTCTAACACTTTTTGGTAAAATTATTTACGAACAGCGTATTGCGACAGCAAGCGTGACCTCCCTCGAAGACAGCGCACGGGTGGCTGAAGCGCCCGCGCAACTCTCTCGACCTTAACTAACAGCCGCGGTCTCTGTGAATAACAGTCTTGAACTACCGTCTAACCACCATAGTTTCGTATTTATCATTTTTTTTTCGTAGGTTTAACTCACAAATGCAATAAATTTTGCATTAAGTAAATTAATTTAAGTCCTATAAACACATTAGAATAGCTTCAGGTAAAATTGTATTATCGACCATTTACTATTAAATGTTTTCGATAAAATTGTTTTAACGTCCAAATAATTGTAACATGCAGAAAAGTAAAATGTTTTAAACGACAAAAACATATATTTTATTTACAAGGAAATTGATTTATGTTTAGATTTTAAAATAATTGCCAATCAATAAAATGTTTTATTGCGTTATTTTTTTGAAAAATGGAAAGGTAAAGAGTTTTAAAAAAAATCTAGTTGTAAGCTTAAGCAAGTATAAATGACTTATCAATAGTTTGTTACTATCATGTACGCTTTATGAACCAAAGTTAAAAAATGAATGGATTTAATACAAAAAAATATACGAAAAAGTAGAAAATCACCGGTGTATTAACCACCATGAAAGTGCTCAGATTAAGTCGCTACCTAGACTATTCGAAAGAGAAAAATCAGGCGATTCCAACGATATATATAACTCATATTCGACCAAAGTGGCGCTTAATACATTTTGCCTTTCCAGCGTCGATATATGCATGCAGACTTTTGAGTTAAACACTACTAAACATCATTAACATCCACTCAAAAATACTTTATATAAAGTTTTATCATATTAAACTCCTAAAAAAAAGTAAAAAATAAAGTTTAATAAAAATCACTATTTCCAGTAAATTTTTAGTTGGATTTCAGTAATTTTCATTGTCGCTATGATAAATAAAACCAAAAATTGTGAAAAAAATCGTGTTGGTAATTTTGCGTGAAGGAAATGAAGGTTTTTTTGACTTGATGTTGTTTTTATACCTTCCGTAGCTTAAATGAGATGGATTCTTAAATATAGTCTCTTGTAATTGGCTCACAAACTTGATTAAAAATATTCCAGGCTTATTTCGAATTATTTCCGTTTACTCGTATTTGTATCACGTTATTATGTGGTTGTTCATGACCTACGTTCAAAAAAAATATATTAAAATCCTTTAATTAATGTCATTATCATTGGACGTAGTTACTCAAAAAGGATCCAATCCACAAATTGGTCGAAACAGAGTTAAGTATACCAAAATATCCATCAGGATCTATACTTTCATATAGACTCTGGAAAGCAAACATGTAGTAACCCGCAAAACCAAAATGAATATTAAAAGTGGAATATGTTAAAAAAAAAACTTATTGCCGTATTAATTGACTAAGGAACACCTTATTTGTTACCATGGACGTTTATAGGAATTATTCATCGAAAAAAATAAAAGCTTTTCTACTCTGAAGAACAATTATGGTATTGCGGGTTACTACGTGTTTGCTTTTCAGCGTCGTATAGGAAAAAAGATCTGAGCTGTATTAATTTTTTTTCGTTTTTTTTTAATGGTAGTTACGATCCCACATCTTTGGTAGGTTCATATTTTAGTTCCATGAAAACGACTCAAGCTTCTTGGATCCATATAGTAAAATGGCAAATTAAAGGCACTAATCTTGGTCAAAAATCACAATAAAGATTCAAAACGCTTGAATTTTTTTTTAAAAAAGGTCAGTGATAGTGAGAATACATTTGACATCAAAAAATAAGACAATAAATATAAAGATTTTTTATTAAATAGTTTTTACGATTAAATTTTGGCGTTTCAGTTAATTATTCTATTATTTCCTTATTTGGATCGTTTTTGAAATTTGTTTTATAAAGATAAGGTAATTAAAACCTAAATATATCAAAAAGGGTCCAAAGATACTTTAACCTTTATATTTTAACAAATATTATTAGTTTTGTTAAAATAACATTATAATCAGATAATGTAAGTAGTTTTCTATGCTATTAAATAAAAATATAATACACAAAAATGTTACATCAACATGCAAATACAGCTTAAACATCAATCGTCTATCGATATCTCAAAAGTTACATTGTGTGGGATGGATCCATGTACCCAGAGTTATTTTTATATAAATATTTATTATTAAAAGAACAAACTTTTAAAGTGTATCGGCTTTTACAAAATCGCTTCTTTTAATTTAGACGATTGAATGATTTTATAATCAAAATAATCGATAATATTGTTTAAAATATATTGATAATATTGTTTAAACATTGGGCAAATCGTATTGAAAGCACAAACAAGAATCCGTGACCCTGCAGTCCATTGCTACTACAACAAAAAAGCTTTAATGCTGCGTATTAATTAGGTCTTTGAACCAAGAAACTTAGCTTTCTTTATGCTTTGAACTAAAATGGTTTAGTTTCTGAAAAACTGGTGACGCCATCTATGAAATATTTAAAAATTATAATTAAATAAACACTTTATTCCGGAACCCTTGTAATAGATACTTAAGATAAGAAATACTTGTTAACAATGTTAATTTAGTAAGAATTACTCATCAAATATAATTCTTTTTTTTTATTTTACTTTATATGTACAGTTTTTTTAATAGGCGCTACGAATACACAAAGTATCACGTAGCCAGTCACGCGTCTGCTATTTAACGTGGGGAGGCAGCAAATGGTTCATATAATATTCTAGAGATGGCGCTACAAGCTTGGTAAACAAGAATATTTCTGTCACGCCCCTTTATAATAATGACTAATTCCACGATTGTGTTGAAATAGAAACTGTTTTCCAAATGTATGATTGAAAATTTCAATTCATCGTTAATCCAGCAATTGTTTTATTTGCGATTTTACTTTTGCAATCGCAATGCAATAAGAAAATGACGTTTGTTTTGTATTAAGCTTCAAATACGAGAGTCATACTATGTATCTCGCTTGCCCAAGATCAATTTTCGCCTGTGGCAAAAAGAGACAAAACACATCATGCTTGCGTTTCAAATACAGCAATCTTTGGTATCAGCTGACAACCAAAGCAAAAACAGTCGGTGCGCGACCATCTTGTCAAAAGTGGAGTCGGTGACAACAAATACATATTATAAAATGTCCTAAATTGCTCGTAATGACATAAGTCCCAGTTTTCATTTAATAAAGTATTGTGTTTATTTGATGTTGGTGTTGTTTTCCAAGCGGTTATTATACATTTTGCTCAATATTTTCGGGTTTGTGTTGCGTCTAATGACGTCATGTATGTGATTATTCTACACGTATCGCGGCTGACGAGTCCGTAAGTATTTTCTTTTAATTCTGTGCTTCTTTTAATTGATATAAGTTAATAATGAATAGTGTTCCATTATTAGTCAGTGATACTTTCATTCATAAATCGACGATATACAATCCCAGTGACCTCGCTCAGTTCTGTGTTGACTAGTTATAAAATTGAGAATGCCCTTGAAAATTATGCAGCAAAATCGCGACGCTAAGCCTAATGGAGTGCGTCTATAGAGCAAACAAGTAGACAAACCAGCAGATTTGTTTCCATTCATGATGAACGCACCGAAGGTCGTCGCAAATGACTGCAAATATTCCGCTTGGCAACGAGTACGCCGCGCACTTGACTAAAAATGGAACGCTCTCGACACGTAGAAAGTATTGTTTTGTACAAAACATTGAAACATTATAGATATGTAGTAATGTTTGTGTAATATCTTGTATATGAAATGGCCGTCCTGCCGTTTCGCTCGCCACAATCGACCTTTTTCGATTTTTCTTCATGCCTCTGCTAACTTTCGACTCTGTAGCTATGTAACGCAACATGCGATCGTCTGACATAGTTATTTAGAATATAATTACCGCCGAACTTGTTAATGCCGATACCTATCGTTCTTGTTGAAAATTCAACGTAGGAGCTATTAACTATAATTAGCCTATATAAATAAGTTGTCCCCAAGATAGCTACTGTTTTAACAATTGTTTCCTCAGTAAAGCCAACTTACTACAAAGTAGTTCACAAAACGCCTGAATAATTTAATAAGGTTAGGCAACAATTTACTTTGAAGGTAGTTGCAGTAGGATGAAAATGAATCCTAGGATTGTCATTAAAGTGTTGTTAAATCTGTTTTATAAGTTTTTTAACCTATGTTAAACTCCAAAATTGACAACTTAAAGTTACAACTTTTAAATTGAAAATAGTTTTTATAAAGCTCAAGGAAGTTATGAAATCTTTTTCAAGGAAGTTATGAAATCTTAATATTTCCTGCGAGCTTTTTCATACAACCTATTAGATGAAATTCGATAATTTGTTCATTATTCTCTATATTCGATGGGAACCCCCAACATTTGATTTTTTCACATATAAATAACACATTTGCGTGTCCTTTGGATAAACCCCTTATATATGTAAGTATTACTAGATGCCTACGTCATAATATTGTCATGTACAGATCTTACCTTGAAACAGATACATCGTTAGCATTTTTTCGTAAATAAGTAGTTACCCGTCACGCCTCCTTCATTTGCTACTATTATGACATTTATTGCTTCCCAGTTTTTATTAATTCACTGTAACAACGATGTTTAGCAAATCGTCAACCTAATTAACAAATTAGCTTTATAATAAATTAGCCTACTTAAGGTTACTTTATTGGCAAATGTAGACTTTTTTCCTTGAGTCGTTTTTTAAAATTAAGAAGATTACCGCGTGTTGTTTTCGGTTCTTTCGTTTTTCTTGTGACTTCATAGGTGAGTACAGATTTAAGTTCTATAACGTTATTGCCTTGTGACCAGGGGCTCGATTATCTAATTTTAACTCAATAACTATCTCTTTCAATTTAACATTTGAGAGATATTCACGAACTTCACACTATAAGTACTTGACATGTGATAGCGATTATTGACGACGACGCATTTTTAATAATAGTGTTGAAACTAACTCCCAATCTTTCGACGGGTTTAATGAAGTTTTTATTACGTTTCTTGCCTCTTCAAAGAGTTTGCGACGTTAAACGTTACATAAATCGCATTCTCATTCGGTATACCTTTAAAGGGGTTGCGATAAATTTTGGAATTAAACAATAGAGCCCAGGGGACCAATTCTACAAAATAAATTTTGTTTAAATCGTATCGAAAACGGATCGAAACCGAACGAAACTCCAGTTTTTAATGGTTTTCCTATTCTACAAAATGACATACGATACAATTCTAGTTCTATTTTAGCTGGAATTGTATCGTATATGACTTAGTAGAATAGAAAAACCATTAAAAACTGTAGTTTCGTTCGGTTTCGATCCGTTTTCGATTCGATTTAAACGAAATTTATTTAGTAGAATTGGCCCCCTGTAATGTTTCGAATTTTTATCACGCCATCCAACTGATAAGTGAGTTGCCATATCAAAGGAGTTTTGTTGATTTTTGTATATACTTATAGTCCTAATTTTGCGCTCAAGTAACACTAGAACTCGGTTTTTCCCCGTTTATACTCTAATCGGCCACATACAATTATTATTAAATTGACTCATATTAAACGAGGACAGTGGAGCAGTTCCTTGTATTTGTAACCAAATTTTATAAAAGGTACATTAGTTTAATTTATTACCCTATATATTATAATAAAATCTTGAGTAAATTTGTTTGTTTGCCGCTCATTCACATCGCAATGTTACGAAAAACTGGAGAGTGACAGATTATATTTTACAGCAAAACAAAGTTCACAACTACCTATTTTCCTATGTCTACATGGATGAAACTGGTAGCAGCTAGTATCAATATATTTTAAGAAATTCGCCCGTAATAAAGCTTACCTAATTATTGAAAACTTGTTTGAAATCAACCAGATGGCCAATTCTGCTGTTTGCTTAATAATCCCATCTCAATAAAATCTTTAGTACCTGCTTGCATTTTTCCCTTGTAGGTACATCTACCTGAAATCCTATATTGCATCTGTCACTGTCATAGAATTAAAGCGAGTTGCCCAAACGTCCTTTAAAATTGACATTAGTTTAAAGCGACGTTACCCTTACAAATTTGACATTCATTAGAGTTCAAAGACGCCGTTAAACCTTAATGGACGTTTGTGCAACTGACCCTCAGCCTGCTGGTAGATTTCCAACGAATTTTCAAGCTTTGTAAAATGAAATAACATCCAAATTCCGTTGTCCTTAAAGTTGTAATTATTTCCATTAAATTATAACGTAACAAAACTATATCTACAACTTTAATCTTTGCTCTTTTGAAAAGGTACAAAAAAATAACGTGTTCCATTATTTAAGCTGTACATTTTAAGATTTCACAGTAAATCGAATCCTATAGGAAAAATTTATTCTTCCCAAAGACGCTGAATCACGAAAAATTGAAATAAAAAAATTTAGAGGCTGTAAAAGCAAAATCATGAGCCTGTTATTTAGAAGGTAGATATATGATATTCGTTGCGGGAGACTCAAACTAATGAAGATATCATAGATAGGTATATGATATTATATTTGTAATGCAATCACAAGTAATATACTCTTCAGAAATTCACCATGACGTCGGGGTATTTCACAGCAAAGCTGTGTATTATTCAATCATATTCTTTTCCGTTAGTAGTTAAAGGAATTCCCTTTTGACTCTTATATGTAAGTTCATATCAGCAAAAGAATATTGTCTTTGTTAATTTATGGTATTAATTATCCATTAAAACTTCCGGTCACACAACACAAGGACACACAATCTAATAAACAAGTTGAACTCTCACGTTTTACTTATTTATAGTTGCATAATATTTATTACTTTATATATAGACATGTATTAATTGCCTCTTTGTATATTTCATATTCAAATGTATATTAACTATATCTCTTTAAGATATCGTATGACACAAAATTCTAGCGCATTTGAATTACACAAAAATCACGAACTACACACAACACCAATCATAAAGTTCTAATTAAAATTAATAGTTAAACGATACGCAAACGTTAGAAATCTTATCACAAAAGTCATAAAGATCAAATTGAAACAGAAAATCCATGCCGGTAGTGCAGTGCAACAGATATGTGATGTGGTAATCTCATAAAAATAGAATCAATTTAAAAATAACGTTATCTATAATACTAATTGTTTTTAAATAACTCTTCTTATATGTATAAGAATTATAAATGTTTGTTATACCTGCTTAAATCCTATCCTATTAATATTATAAAGGCGAAAGTTTGTAAGTATGGATGTATGGATGTTTGTTACTCTTTCACGAAAAAACTACTGGACGGATTTGGATAAAACTTTACAGCAATATAGGTTATACATCAGAATAACACATAGGGTACTTTTTACTGGGAAAACTTCTCACTCCCACGGGATACCGACTTCCACGCGGACGAAGTCGCGGGCGTCCACTAGTAATAAATAAAGTTAAAATATGGCCCGCTAGCGAAAATATGGCCTTATATTACCGTTGGTGAAAAAATTCTTAAAATCTACTTAGTTTCGGAGTCTTTTCAATTCACATAATCATCGTCATCAGCCCTTTTACGAACCCACTTCAGGGACTCCGGCCTTCCTTATGGATGGTTAACCAGCATAAGCCATGACCCTCCACGTTGGCCCGATGTCTATTGATAACGACTGCAAATGCAATCGGGACCAACGGCTTAACGTGCCTTCCAAAGCATGGAAAAAATTGAGTCATTTTTGGTCACCCATCCCGTGACCTTGCGAAAGTTGCTTAACAACAATGATCATGGGCTGCGGCTCATCCACTACGCCACCGAGCTATTCACAAAATTGGACACAAATATTCAAAAAGAAATAAAAACTGTTTCTGCTCTTATAGGACGACTTTACAAGATGATTTTAAAGATGGAATTTATTTCTGAGACGATAAACATTATGGATTCATAATAGTGGCGTGCATTTTAATGTTGTCATAATGTTGTGCAACATTATCCAATTATTATTGAAAGCGATATTAATCTGTTTCTTTGTACTCTATGGTAAATATTCTCGATAATAAACTTATAGAAGTATCGTCCTTCACTTTGATAGTGAAAATAATTGAACTTTGAACCAGTACCAGAAATATCAATTATAACGCGTGACTACGTTTAAAAATGGCCTCGAACCATCAATATTTACATCTTGTTTATGACAGTTTCAAATGTTCACTACCAAAACAATAATCTAATTTCGGCAACAGTCTTAGTTACTGCCGGAACCGAAACTTCCTTACAAGTATTTTGAAGAAAGAATATGTATTATTCTTTATCACCCCATATCTCTAGAACTGCTAAACGAATTTACATACTTGAAATA